TAATTATAAATAATTACATATATGTATGTAATAATAAAATTTAGAAATTAATTTTCCTTTACATTATCTCTTTGATAATGATGTTTCAGTTACAAAAATTTCACTGTAACCCACAATATAAAGAACACAACTATAGAAAATAACATTAAATATAAAATGTAATAAGCATGACTTCCTTTGGATAAACGTAAAACACGTGTAACTGAAGATGTTAATGAACCACTTGTCCTTTCAAAATCTTCATCCTGTGATTATAAAAACGTTTCTTCTATATATTTTTAAGTTCGACTTATAATCATCTGATATTCATAAATACTGATAAGTTATTTATTCACCATTCCTCGAAGCATTTTCTCCTGATATTGTACTTCATTGCCAATGTCAATTGATAATGACTTTAGAGCATAAATTTTATCTTGTAAGTGTTCTGTCATTCTTTCATTCTCATCTTCCAAGGCATCGTGACTTGATGTAGTTGGAACTGGTTCATAGGCATAATCTGTCACAAAAATCAAGCTATGTTAAGTGAGAACAATTACATTTTACAATGAACCTTCAATATTGGTTAACCTACTTGTGTGAGTTCTTCTCATTTTATTCTCAATTTTGACAGTAATTTAAAGTACTTTTGCCACAAATAAGTTTATTGTTAAGCTGTACAAACAGAAATGTCACAAAATATTAGTCAAATAAAATATAAATCAAACAGTTACTGGTTTACATTGTCATACTTTTTTAAATATACATTAAATATTTATTATTTATCTAATAGTACGGTTATAATATAGTTAAAAAATTTAACAAAACAGAGTATATGAACACCAATGTTATAAACAAACTTTTACTAGTTTGAATTCGAACGTAACATGTTGCGTGCAATATTTCAACACAATCCTTATTATAATTCATACGAAGTTCATAAAATTTACATAAATATTTAAATTGTTTTTACACATGTACATTATGTCAAAACACAGTTACGAACCGTGTCAAAAGAATTGTCAATTAAGCGATCAGACAACGCACGAGTAGCAATATGTGTCAACGTCACGTATGATGTGTAATCAGTGTTGCCAACTAAATTCAAAATTTTACGTTCGATCGTAAATATAGTATGAATTATGCAAACCCACGATTAATCAGGATAATGTAATTACAGTTTTCAAAAGTAGTTCAACGATAGATTTTTTAACGAATAATATCAATATTGATGTATCCTAATATTTTTGATAACAGGTTTTAGTTCAGAAAATTTTGTTATCAGCAAAATACTGACCTTTCGATAAGGTAGATATATTGATTTTTACTTTTATAAATTTAAATTTGATCGATAACGTACCGATTATGGAACATAGCATTTTTTAAGGTCATAGGTTTATCTTTTTTTATCGTTAATATATTAAAGAAGGATTAGGATTGTATGCAATTTTATAAGATAAAGTGAATTTTGCTAGATAAGTATTGTTTATATTAATTTTTGGTAAATTATAATATGATACAATCGTTTTATGTTGTTTCTCCTCGTGTTTATTATCAATTACAATATGTTAAATATAAAGGCACAAACAATGAAAAGTAGTTGTCTACTTTCTAGATCCCTACATGTCTATTACTTGATTCAGTACTATCTTTGATACATAATCGTCACTTAACGTTAATATAAATTCTTAACGATAGGAATACTCATTACAATGTTAACCTAAATCTTTGATGTTGAACTTAAATACGTTCATTATATCTAAATATTCACAACTCTATATAAGAAAAAGTTCAACGTTAAAATTTTTCTTAAATATCCAATTCCTAACACGAAGGTAACACGCATAAACGAGGAATGAAATGAAATAATATTTTCGTATTTCGTCATATCTATGTATATACTGTACCCTGAACAAATTTCAACAACTATTAAACTCAGTGAATTTCCCTCGTGTGCCCTTCGACATTTTGCTGTTATCCACGGGTACCATATTTATACTTTCACATCTATAACATTTCTACTTTAACATCGAACGACCATCGATAGGTTCTACAAATGTTTCTCGTATATAAATTCAACATTGATCACGAGAATATTAAATCTCACGTTTGTGCACCATGTAATCATTACACTTATTGTATTGTTTTGTTCTATCTGTATCAGTACACAATTATTCTACCGACAGTTTGATCCCCAAGGTTTAACGGAAATTAGGCCTGAAAGTCGAATATGTTATAGAGTTGGTATAAGAGAATCTTTCTGCGATAAGAAATTCGGATTGTTTGTTGACGATTCGTTTTGGAATGTTCAATGTCACAGGATGTTGGAAGACATGACTTGACTCTTTCGCTGTGACTCGTTTTTTACATATGAAAAATTTTTTTTGTACTTTCACACAGTTTCTAAGTTTAAATTTTAACGTGATCGTTTCTGATCACCGATGTTACGTATTCATTCCCGACATTGTATAAAATTTATTAACAATGAAAATGGATTCATGTTTCACTCTGATAGCACCCTAGAAAGAAGTTTTTAACTTTATACAAATCCTTCCTATCCACTAACGACGTGAAACAAAGTGTTTCACGTATACCCTTCCTATGGACTAACTTTACAAAATAACATTCTCAAACTCTTCTCGAATAATTGTATACAAAGTTGAGCAGTTAAATAGACATCCTAAATTAAACGCTTGCATCGGGGCTGATGAATCATTAGGCAAGAACATGATTGTATGTCTTAAGAAATTAACACCTTAAAATATTGTAAATCGACGATAAATACTAAAACACATTAGCAATAAATATAGGAAACACGGAACGCCGATTGTATTATTGCTTAGTTGTATGATACGATTATAATTCAAATTATCTGCTAGTACGTTAAATATAAATAAAAAAAAGTCTAAATGTTTCGTAAATTATTTTGCAGAATATTTTGAGGTGTTCAGGGAAACGGTTGATGAATGAATTCTTCGGGATGGAGCTGGGCTTACTGGGGCGGATGGGGAGGGTCCGGTAGGTGTTGTTGGTTTGGAACCTCTTCTACTTCGTCTCATCGAAGAATATGGACTTGTTCCTCGATTCACGCGCTCGTGAGCGTAAAGTAACACGCCGATATCTCGATTGCCCGCTTCTAACGCGATTTTTAGAGCGGAACTACCGTCTACATCAAGGATCGATGGATCACAGTCTGCATGTGCGAGTAATAATCGTACGATTTCTGTGTGCCCGTGTTCGGCGGCGCACATTAAAGCTGTACTGCCATCTTCATCTTGAATGTTGACTGCTGCTCCAGCATCCAGAAGTAATTGGGTCATATCTTTGCGACCGTGAGATACTGCCAACATTAAGGCAGTTTGACCATGCTAAAAAAAGATTGCGACTTTTACTATTAAACATCACTGGGGTATAAATAGGAGGAAAATAGATTAGTAGCTATTTTAAATACCTACCAATTTTGCTCTGATATTAACATCAGCAAGTTGAAACAACCTGTTAGCCACTGATGCATGAGTGGAATTTCTAACTTCAGCAAGAGCTGCCAACATCACAGCTGTGTATCCAGCCATATTTGCTTTGTTAATATCGCAAACTTTTGAATCAAGAAGTATAGATACAACATCGAAATTTCCATGGGAGACTGCATAATGCATTGCAGTGTTCCCACTTGAGTCGGTCATGTTAACAATGTATTCCAATAAAGAACTGGAATATTCCTCGAAACAATCTAGGTAATCTTCCACCTCTAAAGGATTAGCATTCACTGTGCTTGAGATTTTAAACCATTCCTGTTGGATGATATTGATAGCATTTTTCATTTGATGAGAGATATTTTTGCTAGGAGATTTTTTAAGGCTATCATTCAGAACCTTCATGGCGGCCTGCATTTCCTTTGAAGGTTCAACCTTCTTTCTAGGTTTCTCTTGAATTGGTTGAAACAATGCAGATTCAGGGAGCTCATGTTTCTCTTCAATATCTGATTGCTTTTCTGTTGCGTATATCTCCTCTGACTTCTCATCTTTTTTTTTCTCCCCTTGTAATTGTTGGATACTATAAAAAATACAGAAAAAATGTAATTACAAAAAGAGTCATTATTTTTTCTTCAATTTATTATTTTTATGCTTTCTTGCATCAGACGAATCAAAGAAAAAAAAACAATAATTTACGAAGTTAATTACCCTTTCTCAACGAAACAAGCAGAATTTATTTCGGTGAGTTCGGTATCGTTAACTAAACGGTGTTGTTGTTGATGCTGTTGCAGCATCGATTTGTCGAGATTGTATACACGATTTACTTGTTCACCATAGCAAGCTCGCGATGATTTTAAGTGCACTTTCTCTGTCACTGACTTCCGGAATGTTTTGACCTCTGCGCTCAGCTAGGTGAAAACACTTATGACGCATACGACGCGCAACCATGGAGTCGGAAAAAACCAACAAATCCTTGACATGCGCTTGATTGTCACTAACTATGAGATAGATTGATCCTCTATGGCGCTAAGTTCTTTACTACTTTTTACCGAACTACCATTAGTCAGAACCCTCCACCTTATAGATGGCGTACCTTGTAGTTTCTTGCGTTTATATCAACGGATATCAAATAATATTTTAAAATAATTTTTTTTCAACAAACGGTATCTTTATACTTCTAAATATCATTTAATCGAATCACTTATAATTTTCACTGTTCATAGATAATTAAATTAATTGGCTTATTTTTTTTTTCGTTGAGATAATGGGTAATTAAGTGATAAAAAAAATATCGATAATCATGTTATCCTTAAAACAACTACTAACCGATTACTGTTGTCATATTGTTCCTTGTTATCGGAATCGTATCTTATCACACCAGCAGCCGGTATTTTCGTGTACGTATCCTGCCTTTTAAACTGTCTTCTATGATCTAGCGCGTTGTTCAGTGGTATATGAGACGGCCTTGGTATTCTTGAGACGAGATTCGTGTTCTGATGATTCATATAATTCTCCGCGTTGTTGACAATCTGCTTCGCCAAATTTTTTATCGTCTCCTTACAGTTATCGCAATAATTGGCCGCGCACGAGATAGAAATGTGCGGTTTTATCGACTCCCCGACCGAGACGTCTGTGAATTTCTTTTTTATCGGCGACGTACCGAACTCACGTTTCTTAGGCGCCAGACCGGTGGTATCGGTACTCTTCACCGTTGTCCTTATCAAATCGTCTACCATAACACTCACAGACTTCGTGGTCTTTCTTTTCACCTTAGTGTCGCCGTAATTAAACGAATGACTTCTCGAGTTCATCGAATGCAACGATAACGATTGAACAGCAAGTGGATCAGGACCAACAGCGATGCTTCTCGTTCCTGGACCAGTTCTAACCTCAATTCCAATTTCAGACACCCTGGGCTTCACCATTATTCCCACGTTCGTTCTCATTTTAAACGGTTCCGCCACCTGGACGAACTGATCCCTCTTCTCGATCATTTTAAGAGGTTCTGGGGTACATTGACAACCCCTAGAAATTGTATCTTTCATCAGGGTACTCTTATAGGTGCTCAGAGCGTCATCCACGATAATCGCAATATCATCTTTCGTTAATACGTCCTTCATGTTTAAACTAGTCGTTGTTCCGCAAGATCTTTTCTTCACTTCTTTCTTTATTTCCGGTGCTATGTCCTCGATTATAAATTGACTGTGTACCAAATCTTTCAGCTTATTCCTCGTGTTGATTCCAATATCGCGAAACTTTTTCAAATCTCTGAGCAATTTCGGACTGGTTGGAGGTATCGATTCCATTTGAAGCGGGCTTCTCATCAGACGACTCCTAGTCATCTTCGTTTCCGGTGTTATTTCCTCGTACATCAGTCGGCTACGGGTTAAGGTCGACCTCCAACTGTCGCGAGAATCGCTCGAGTAGAGCTTGTCGAGGCTCGACGGTGTCCTGTCGTCGAACAACGTGCTCTGGTCTTTGATTTCAGGTACGATTTCTTCGATCTGCAATCGACTCCGTTGCAGGCACTGCTTTATCGGCGTGCTAGTTATCATGCCGATATCTCGTGTTCGAACCTGATCGCGTGACAATGCAACGTTACTAATGTATCATATTAATCAATCCTATTAATTCTTGTACTCATCGAGTACCGTAAGATATTATCGTCGGTTGGAATAGAAAAAGTTTCGTTTTTTTTTTTTTCACGGAAGTTAATTACCCAGTCAGCAGTTCGTTTTCCAACGGAGACCCGACACAGAAGTTTCCTTCGATTTACGTAAGCGAATTATCGGGCACGACGAGAAAATCCCATCGGAGTTTTCATCCGGCGTCGCTTTGAATTCGGTTACAGGTAAAAGTGAGGACTGAGCGAATAAATTGTGCACAGTGACCCATTTTACCGGCTATAAATACGACATATCTGAGGAAACGGAATATCGAGGCCGCCATTAGAATTAGCAGACGCTCAGTCTCTCCGAGAGTTATAAACGTTTTGTCAATCGTCCATTAATATACACTCTTATACATGGTGTTAGAAAAAAAAGTATAAGATTTTGGAAGTCTATAGTTTTCACTGAGGGAAGTACAAAATATTGTGATGTCCTAAAATATAAAATTCGATAATCCTATCGATATAAAAATAACTTTTGTGTTTATGAACGCTCGATATCGTGAGTTTCTTCATAACCCATTGAGTATAAACACAAGAATAAGTTTGGAAGTGAATAATATAGTGGCCTTACGACAATGAATAGAAAACGCATGTGGTACTGTACGAGACAGTGAAGGCATCCATGAAAATGTATATCGAACTATGATCCATAGATGTCAGTCTTGTGTCCAAATGGAAAACAAACCTTCGTGTTTTACATCGATAGGATTAATTTTAGAACGCATGTATATTTCTTAACCTCTTGACTTATGATTTTTTTACGGACTATGGATGTAAACGTAAGTTATTTATTATTTTAATACTGTGTGAAATAAGAGAAGTAGAGTATATCTGTTACAATTTGATAATTCTTGTAAATTAAAACTAAATTTCGAATTGAAATTAACCTTTATTACTGATATAACTGTTTCTGTCATACTTTTACTACAATCTATACCACAAATTAGACTTGTCATAAGGTAAGAAGTTAAGCATTTCTTCCTACAAGCTACTAAAGTCTCAGACCCTTTTTGTTCAACACTCTGTATACTCCAGTGAATTCGTTACACCGTTAAAAATCGAGCCGAACTTTTTCCTAGCGCGGGAATTGTTAATAATCTAATAGAAAGGTGGGTATCGCGCACGTATTCATAAGGAACGATAGAAATTGCATCGAAATTAATGCACAGAATGATGGTTCGAAAAAGAGTTCGCGTTTCACGTTCAATTCAGACTTTCTCATCGGCCCAATAAAGTAACATCGGCTGACTATTTCGCGATGAGGAGTAATTAAAATCTACCCGTGGCTTGGCGCGGTATGCAAATGTTTCCTCGGTCCGTTGAAGCCTTTAGGCTTCGTTCTCAACACACGACGGCACCGTTTTCTCTCGTGCGTGTTGGGAGAAGAGAACAAAGCAGATCGAAGGAGCCGATAAATCAGCGCGAACGGAAGTCAGCACCGCGACGTATGTATTATACCTGCTGGTGTGAAACACCGACGTCCCGTGTCATCACTCCACACATCGTTCCCATGTCTCTGGTTGGCGTGGCCGCGTTCTTCGGATTTCGCTGGGAGCCGCGTTGTTCCGAGAACGACTGGCTCCGGTACCTGTGCAACACGCATTCGTTGCGCGGGCTCATCTTGCTCAGCTCGTCCACTTGTCGCAGCAGAGTTCGCTTCTCCTCTTTCAGAACTGACACTTGCACCTGCGTGGGAGAGAATGTGAACTGAGGGATGTTTCGATGACCGTGTGGTTCTTGGGAAATGTTTGAAGTTGAGGATTCGGTGATTTAGGTAGTTGGAGTGAAGTGAATTTTAACCATTTAAGGTTGAAATTTCAGATATTCTTGGCAAAGTTGTTTTACTATTGAGAGTGAAAGTACTGTTTTTTATTAGTCTTTCCTGGGAGAAAATGTGAACTGAGGAATGTTTCGATGATAGTGTGAATTTTGGGAAGTGTTTGAAGTTGAGGTACTTGGAGCTTTGTGAATTTTAAGGTCGAAACATTTGAGGTCGAAATTTCAGATATTCTTGGCAAGGTTATTTTACTATTGAGAGTGAAAGTACTGTTTTTTATTAGTCTTGCGTGGGAGAAGATGTGAACCGAGGGATATTTTGACGTTCGTGTGGTTTTTGAGAAACGTTAGAAGTTGAGGATTCGGCGATTTAGGTAGTTGGAGTGCTGTGAATTTTAACACTTCGAAATTTCAAGTTGGGATGTTTTTGGTGGCAATGTTATTTTACTATTATGAGCGAAGATACTATTTTTTTATTAGTCTTCAATGCTTGCGTGGGGGGCGATGTGAATTGAGGAATGTTTTAACGATCGTGTGGTTTTGGGAAGTGTTAGAAATTGAGGTATTTAGAGTTTTGTGAATTTTAACTCTTTTAGGTCGAAATTTCAGATATTCTTGGCAAAAGTTTTTTTTACTATTGAGAGTGAAAATACTATTTTTTATTAGTCTTCAATGCTTACGTGGGGGGCGATGTGAATTGAGGTACGTTTCGATGATCGCGTTGTTTTGGGAAATGTTAGAAGTTGAGGATTCGGCGATTTAGGCAGTTGGAGTGAAATGAATTTTAACACTTCGAAGTTTCAAGTTGGGATGTGTTCTTGGTGGCAGTTATTTTACTATTGGAAACGAAAATACTATATTTTATTAATCTTTTGTGGGAGACAATGTAAACTAAGAGATATTTCGATGATCGTGTGGTTTTTGGGAAATGTTAGAAGTTGAGGATTCGGTAATTTAGCTAGTTGGAATTCTGTGAATTTTAACACTTCGGAGTTTGAAGTTAGAATATTTCAGGCAAAGTTGTTTTATTATTCAGGGCGAAAATACTATTTTTTTTAGCCTTTCAGCGTTAACACTTCACTTGCATGCAAGAACTGAGGGATGTTTCGACGATCGTGTGGTCTGGAGAAATGTTAGAAGTTGAGGTAGTTGAAGTAGAAGTTCAAATAATTGCGAAGTTTAACCCTTTGGTTGTTCAAGGTGTTTTCATCTCAAACATTTACAGAACATAGTAAAACTGCATCCAAAATTTGACTAAATTTTCTATCACAAAGAATATTTTTTAAACTACACAAATTGATAACCCACAAAAAAGAAACCTCCGTAACATACTTACGCGGAACAAAGAATGTAACGTGTTTACTGCACAGCGATAAAATTAAAAAAAAATGTATCATTCGACAAAAATTCTTCCTTCTTCGTAGTAAAGAAAATTAGGCAACAACGACATTGCCCAACATTCGATATTTTCCATAAACCGAAAACATCAGGTCAAGGAATCGATTACAAAAACGCGCAACTGCTTATCACGACGAATATGCGTATTAGCTTAATGGAAACATTGCTTCCGGGCAAATATCCGCGTCACCGATAACCACGAGGCACGAAACGTGCTCGATGCAACGTTCGCCGGTTACGTTGCACGTTCGCGTAATTACGCTTGCCCAGTCGGAAGTATCGCAACGGAAAGACAGACCTAAACGCGTGAGTCATACGTTGATGGACGTACGCCAAGAGAAACACGTTCAATTCAGTACACCACATTTCTCGCGTGTATCTGTCTGCGCAACCAACGACGAAGGTCTCTCTTCTCTTTGCTACCCTCCGTTCTTCTTATTTCTCTTCTCTTCTTATTTCAACTTTCGTTACGTCGAGTCAAAGGCTTAATTAGCCCGCGATAGCCGCCAGTTTATACGATTCAACGCAATTACTTCGTCGGTTGGTTGAAATATCGAGCGTTTGAAAACGCGTCATATTGAAATTACCACGAATGTGTTTACCTGCAACGTGGGAATCGCCTTGACCTGTTCCTCCAGCTCTTTCATCCGTTCCAACGATGCAGCCATTTGCTCTCGGATGTTCTAGAAATACACGGTGTCACACATGTTCACGGTTAATACGGTTTCGTTGCTCGATTAAACGCGACAGTTCGATGTTAACGGTCGATGGAAGAAGCGTTGGGAGGTTGTAAAATTGGTTTGTGTGCCGTGTACAGTAAATTCTCCACAAGTGTCAGTCCGCAAGGAACCTAAACCTGACACTTGTAGAGTCAGGGACTACGTTTTCGAGCCTCGCGCCCGCCTTTGACAAGGACAGCGAATAAAAGATAAGGATGAAACGTGAGTCGAGGCAACCAAGCGATTTAAATACCAACTTTTTTAATTTTACCTTTTTTTATCCCGAAATTTTTCTTAATATATTGATGAGATTTTTCTGATGAAAATGACATCAAACACGACATCATTTGAACATTTACTTATTAACACGTTCACTGTCTGGCGTGACAAAATTATATCGTGTTTGATGCAAATTATATCAGAAAAATCTCATCAATATGTTAAGAAAAATTTC